CTGGGCTTTCCTAGCCGCTTGTGGTCTAGAGAGAGATGAATTATTTCTGAATGTTCAAGAAGGTGGCTGGGAGCACAGAAGGCAGGTGCTCTTCACAAAGAGATGGACTGAAATGACTTAGATAAGAGCACTCAGCTCACCAAGGTGGCTAGGTTAGAATGTTAGCTTGCTTTCTCATATGCTACCTCTTTTCAATAGGATTGTAATAAGAGCTACACATACCAGTCTAACTTTAAATTTAGAAAGTGAAAAGAAATAGGGAATATCTTAAATGTATTTTATGTAATGCAACATACAAAACATTATCAACCTGTTTTACATAGCTATTATTTTAAATTTTAATTTGTTATATATGACAGCAGATGTATTGCAGTTCATAGTACACATATAGAGCATATTTTTTTTATATCTCTGGTTGTACACAAAGTAGAGTCACACCATTTGTGTCTTCATACATGTATTCATGGTAATGATGTCTATCTCATTCCACCGTCTTTCCTACCCCCATGCCTGCTCTCTTCCCCTCCCTCCCTTTTGCCCTATCTAGAATTCATCTAATCCTCCCATGCACCCCCAACCACATTATGAATTAGCATCTTGAAATCAGAGAAAACATTCGGCATTTGGTTTTTTGGGACTGGCTAATTCACTTAGCATTATATTCTCCAACTCCATCCATTCACCTGCAAATGCCACGGTTTTATTCTTTTTTAATAGTCAATAAATTCCATTATGTATATATACCACATTTTCTTTATTCATTCATCTACTGAAGGGTACCTAGGTTGGTTCCTTGGTTCCACAGTTTAGCCATTGTAAATTGTGCTGCTGTAAACATTGATGTGGCTGTGTTCCTGTAGTAAGTTGTTTTTAAGTCCTTTGGGTATAGACCTGAGAAGTGGGATAGCTGGGTCAAATGGTGGTTCCATTCCCAGTTTTCCAAAGATTCTCCATACTGCTTTACATATTGGCTGTACCAATTTGCAGTCCCACCAGCAATGAATGAGTATTCCTCCCCCCAACACACATCCTCGCCAGTACTTATTATTGTTTTTATTCTGCCATTCTGACTGAAGTGACATGAAATCTTAGGGTAGTTTTCATTTGCATTTCTCTAATAGCTAAAGATTTGAACATTTTTTCATATAATTGTTGATTGATTATATATTATATTCTGAGAAGTGTCTGTTCAGTTCCTTGGCCCACTTATTGCTTGGGTTATTTGTTATTTTGGTGTTAAGATTTTTGAGTTCTTTACATATCCTAGAGATTAGTGCTCTATCTGATGTGCGTGTGGTAAAAATTTGTTCCCAAATTGTAGGCTCTCTATTCACCTCACTTATTGTTTCTTTTGATGAGAAGAAGCTTTTTAGTTTGAATTTATCTCATTTATTGATTTTTGATATTAATTCTTGCACTATAGGAGTCTTATTAAGGAAGTTGGGGCCTAATCTGACATAATGGAGGTTTGGGCCTACTTTTTCTTCTAATAGCCACAGGGTCTCTGGTTAAATTCCTAGGTCTTTGATCCACTTTGATTTGTTTTTTTGTGCATGGTGAGAGATAGCGTTTGAAAAGATAGTCTCTTCAACAAATGGTGCTGGGAAAACTGGAAATCCATATACATAAGCTATTATTAATGAGCTATTTTATATCCCTTTTTATCAAGCCTTCAAAATTCAGTGTATATTTTTACAACTGTATACATCTTAATTTGCATTAGTTAAATTTTTAGCAGTTGAAGTAAAACAATTCTATCAAAACAATGAAGCTTTGTTTAATGGAAACTATGTTACATTGATTCAGTGTTTATATTTATATTTAAATCGGCCATAACAAACAAAATTAAAAGTTCAGTTTCTCAGTCTTATTGACCACATTTCAAGTGTCCAGTAGACATGTGATTCATGGCTACCACAGTGAACAGCACAGTTCTAGACTTTCTCAGTTGGAAACCAAGGAGGTGGAGGCTGTGCAGTACTGGTTTTTTGTGTGTGTTTGGCCTCAGGGTCCTTATGAGCCCCATACTGAATACATAGAATAGTTCTATTTGCAGAGCACCAACAAAGGAAAGCAGTAAATTCAGGTAATTTCCTCCAAAATTTACTCCCAGTGATACCACTGGTTACTGGTGAGGAGTCCTGCTTCCCCACATGTTGAAGTTTGAGCATTAGAGAAGCACGCCGAGGCAAGCATATAAAGCAGGGTTTATTTATAAAGGGGTAACATAGACTTCTCCCAGGAGGGAGGAGGGGGCCATAGCTGGTACCCTGGTATCCTGAGTGAAAGGAAAGTGACCACAACACTCGAGCAACCAAAAGATCTTTATTGCAGCAGTGCAACAAAGAGAAAAGAAAGAAGAAAAGAGAGAGAGAGAAGAAGAAGAAAAGAGAGAGAGAGAGAGGAAGTGCACGCAGGAGAGAGACAGAGAAAGCAAGAGAGATAGCAAGAGAGAGAGAGGGAGCAAGAGAGAAAGAGCAAGAGAGAGGGGGGCCTGGCAGGAGGGAGTTTTTATAGCCCAAATCTAATGGGGCCTCTGGGTCTGCAAGCTGCCTTGTTGGCCCAAGGGGGGGTTAA